AAAAAAGCCATGAATTCTATGTGCTGTATTCCCCTAGCACTGGGGTTTTGCCGTTCTCATTGATCAGTACGCTGGGTCTTGGCTGGATGTTCTTGCTGATCTTCTGGGGAAGGGGCCTATTGCTGTGATTCTCAAATGTCTTTGCTGGCGGTGGAATTGCACCGCCCTTGCCAGGGGCCAGGCTAAGTAATCTACTGGGGTTTGCTCAGTAGCTTTTGTTCCCTGAAAGCTTTCCATACAGTTTTGGAGGATGAGAGTGAATATGGAGGTCTCCCAATCTCTGGTCCCGGAGGAGCCGAGAACTTGGGCCCCACTCCTCAGTGAGCCCCCAGAGAAAAGCAGTCAGTACTCTCGTCTCCCCGGTCTCCAGCCGCACTCCGTGCTCACCCGGCCTGTGACTGAGCATTTCTATCTCTGGCACATGACCCCGTTTGGAATCTCCAATCCCAGCAGATTCTTGAGGTGTGCTCCCGCGCCGCTTCTCCCAGAGGAAGGGGAGTCTCCCTGGATCTGCTGCTTGTTGGGTCCCTGCTAGAAGAGCAGTGGCCCGACTGTGCCACAGATCACAGGTTATGGCAACCCCGAGCTGAGAGCCCACTCCTCGGCTCTGTCTTTGCAGCCGGCTTCCCCACTCTGATACCTGGGAGCTCTGCCACACTCAGGCACCCCCGGTCTTTCTGTGACCCAGAGGGCCCTGAGACCACACTGTCCCAATGAGGTTCCACCCCCTGCTTAACCACTGGAGCGACATCCCTTAGTGGAGCAGACTTCTAAAAGTTCCAAATTTGTGCTCCGCTGCTCTATCACTTGCTGGTAGCGGCTGACGGAGGCTCCCTCCCCCCGCGGTCTATCTTCCTGTATATCGCCTCAGATTCACTTCTCTGCAAGTCCTACCTTCCAGAAAGTGGTCGCTTTTCTGTTCAGAGAGTTGCTGCTATTCTTTTCCTTGATCTCCTGTTGAGTTTGTAGGTGTTCTGAATGGTTTCATAACCATCTAGCTGAATTCCTGGGACCAGAGGAAATTTAGGTCTCCTACTCTTCCACCATCTTGCTCCTCCTCCTTTGCCCTCATTTTTGAAGAATCTTTTCTCTGGATATGGAATTCTGGGTTAACAGCTTCCTTCTTTTGATACATTAAAGATGTCATGCCATCGTGCTTTGGCTTGCATTTTTTCTGATGAGAAGTCGGCATTCATTCTCTTTATTCCCCTGTATGAAATGGGTCTTTTCTCTCTGACTCTCTCCATCTCTGGTTTTTAGCAATGTAATTATGATGTACCTTGGTCTGGGGTGTGTGTGGGTGTGCGTGTGCAGAGAAAGAAAGAGAGCATATATATAGATGTATGTTAATGTATGTCTGTGTGTGTGTAAGCTCAATTCTTAATGAACTATAATTTCCTAAATGGAGTTTCAGCCTTTTCAGTGTTAATTGTGGTATGGAGATTTCCTAATTTAAAAAGTATGTATGGATGCAAATATGTTAGGCTACCAGAGAGTGGGGAGGGGATAGCCAGCCCCCAGGCCTTGGTGCTTTGAGGACCACCAGGTCTAACATGTGCACAGTATGAAGTGGCCTCGTCCCTACCCAGAGCCCACTGGCCAGGAGGGTAGTGAGGGCAGAACCCCAGTGCGGCTTCATGGATGGGCAGAACATGAAACTGTACAACAAGGGTTTCTGCCTCCAAACACCAGGAATTGGGGCCAATTAGTGTCTGGCACGGCATTGAGGCCCCACAGGAGATAAAAATGAAAGTGAAGAGGAAGGTAGAGAATAATTGCTTCTCTCTCTCCATCAAGTCCTAAACCACAGCCTCCAGAGGGAGCCAAGTCCAACCCTTCTAAACGGCACCGGGACCGCCTGAATCAAGAGCTGAGCAAACTGACCAACTTGCTTCCCTTCCCCGAGGATGTGCGGGCCCGCCTTGACAAGCTCTCCATCCTCAGGCTGATTGTGGGCTATCTAAAGGTGAAGAGCTACTTCGCAGGTAAGTGACAGCTGTGGTTCCAAAACAAGCTATGAGAGGTGGCTGTGCACACATGCACTTGGAGTTTACCTGCTGTCCAGGCAAAAGCTGCATCACAGTATTTGGGTCTTGGGCAGAGGAAGAAGGCACTATGCTCAGCACAGGTGCAATAGGGGAACCAGAACACAGGTGCATCGGTTCATGCCCAACATGATGTACAAACCCTGGGCTCTGCACCATCTCTCAGGCTCTCCATGGAAGGAGATGGGCTCGGGTGCCAGCCTGCCTATGTGCACATCAGGCTTACAGAATAGCATGTGCAGAAGTCCCTAGCTGATGGCCTGACTTCTTTCCTTCCGTTGCTTTGTCATTTCTTGTGATAAACCAAGTGTCCCTCCACCTTGTAGAGCTTTGGCTCAGAACAAAGACATGAACTGGGATATTTCTTATCATCTTCTGGAGCCCTTATTCTTCTAAACTTCTTTACCATGTAATAGGCACAGTCTGCTCTTCCGTGTCCTTCCTGCTAATAATTCACTGTGTCATTGCTGAAAGATGGTTCTAACCCATTCCTGCAAGTGGAACTTGCACTCAGTAACTTGGGCGATGCACCTGAACACAAGTGAGCTTGTGGCCTCCTGTTTCTCTTGGAGGAGGAGGATGTAACCCCCCATAACTGATAAGCTGCAGTGCAGCAAGACGGACAGAGGAAGACTCTGGGCCTGAACAACATGTTACAAATTGTAATAGCAGCTCAAAAAAGAAACTCAAAAATCAAATGGGTCCAGTCAACCTTGAAAATACCCTGGGAATTATGAAACTGCCCAAAACGCAGTGATAACTGCAAAGAAGCCGCAGCTGTGTAATCAGGTACAACAGTGCTGTGGCCTGTCCATGCGGTGGTCAAGCACGTCTGAGGTGGTGGCCAGGAGCTGGATCAGAGGGTTGGGGAGGACTGCTGAATGGGTACAGGGTTTTCTTTTGGGGGTATTGACAGTATTTTGGGTTTTTTTTTGTTGTTGTTGTTTTATTCATCACTCAATCAATATTTATTAAACTCCTATAAGGTAAGAGACACTAGGTTAGGTGCTCAATTACAGCAAAAATTAAATTGTAGAACATCCCCGGAGTTAAGAAACTACAATCTCTATTAACTCCCACAACAACCCTGCAAAGTTGGCGTGGATCTACTTATTTTGCTGGTAAGGAAATTAGTGGTGGAGTTTTTTTTTTTTTATTATTCTGTTATGTTAGTCACCATACAATACATCATTAGTTTTTGATGTGGTGACAGTATTTTGGACCTAGAGAGAGGTGGCGGTTGCACCACATTGTGAATGTGCTCAATGCCACTGAACTGCTCAGTTTAAAATGGTTCATTTTAAGCTACATGAATCCCACAGGGGCTGGAATCCTTCGGGGGAAGGGAGGCAGGGGCTCTTTGCAGCCCTCTCAGCACTCAAAGGCCCTGAATGGCTCCTCTGCTTGCCTCTGCCATCTGTCTCCAGGTGGCCTGCCCAGGGCTGGGCCAGGGCCTTTTCTCCTCCAGACGTCCCTGGTGCGGGCCAATGAGCACAGGGGCCTGTCCTCACCCACTCAGCTGTGCTGCAGGCCACTGACAGTGGTGGAGACCTCAGACCCTCTGCCCTAGGTCTGATTTCTCCCCAGGGTGGCCCAAAGGAAAGAGGCACATGTGTGCCTTTGTGTGTTGTGAACTGCTTTCACATGGAAACACCTTGATCCTCAGCCGGTCCAAGCCCTGGTTTGTTCAGAGCTGTGGATCTGAGTCCTGTCTCTCCCATTATTTCTGTACACTCCTCCTCTGGGTCTCTCCTCTGAATGGATAGATGACTTCCAACGCTGTTTCTGGTATAGACAGGAGTAGGGAGAGTCTGGGTGACAGGCACAGCCACCTCAAGAGCCAGCCTGGGGAAAACGGTCCCCACTCCTGCTGGACCCTCAAGAAGGCAGAAGGCTGGGCCACAGCATCCACACCGAAGGCTTTGTTCAAGACACGCTGCTGTCCATAGGATCCTAGCCTCCCCAAACCACAGAATCCACTGGGTTGCTACCCCAAGGGCCCAGCTTCCTCCTGACATGGCCTGAGACTGGGGCTAGGGCCTTCCTTCCCCACTGTGGATGGACTTTAAAGCCTGCTTTTCGAGGCTCGGTTGGGTCTTCCGCCCCTGCCCCCAACTCTGGAGCTCTCATGGCCCTGCCCTCCCATTTTTGTCCTCTGCCTGATCTCCACCACTCCTCATGTCCCCTGCCCTGCTCTCCTCCCCCTCTGAGCTAACCCTTGGCCCCCTCATGACACCCTCTGCAGCTCTGGCCATCTAGCTCCGAAGTGTGTGACTCTGTGACCCTCTTTATTTTCCTTCCAAGGTGCCTGAAAGAGCAGGTGCCAGTTTGTCTTTATCATTTAGTGTCCAGTAAATGGAGGAGAGAGACCAAACCCTGAGGGCTTGGCACCTATTTAACTCCCATCTGCCTTTCAGGGGCTGCACCAGGCAAGGCAGGGAGTCCAGGAGTCAGACAACAAGGCAAAGGGCTGCATGGGTGGGCACAACCCCTTGCCCCAAGGCCAGCAGCTGATGGCCACCCTGGGTTACGGTCTGTCCTCTGTATTGGTCAGGGGTCAGGTGGGCTCCATGCAGGCATATTGGGTGGCAGGCACCCAGTGTGGTGAGACACAGTCAGGCAGCTGCCTCTACTCCTAGGAGCCCACTGCATCCACCCCAAGTGGACTGAGGGGGAGAGAGTTGCCTGCACACAGAGCCAGGCAGGCCATCCCCAGGGGAGAGGGCAGCTGAAGACCAGCTTCCACCCTTTCTCTAGAAATCTCCATGTTCTGAACAAGGACATATTTTTTTTAAATGACTGGCTAAAATTAAAATTAAAGATTTAAGTAGAAATCCACACTTTTCTTTGGAAAATGCTTCTTAACCTCAGCTAGAGGTTAAGAGCCAGCAAGACCCATAATGGTTTTTTTAAGCTCAAGGCAATGAGATGAACCTGTCCAGTCTGTCCCTGTAACTCTTACCACATGTCTTAGTCAGGGACAAGTCTGCAGCCCTTTCATGGAGTGACCGCCTATCCAAACCCAGTAGGGACATGTCCCATAGAGTTCACCTGCCCCAACACTGAGGACGCTTGCTCTTGCAGGGAATGTTCACCAGGCAGGAGGCCAGGTGGTCACCAAGGCCTGGACCTCAGTGTTCTGCAGTTAGAAAGGCACTAGTCTCACCAGGGAGCTGCAGTGATGCCAAAAGAGGCTCTGCAGAGACCAGGGGGCTGCAGAGGAGCCATCTGCTCTGATGGGGTGGGGGTGAGATTTTCCTCCACCCACTAACCACACACCCCCATTACACTGCCCATTGTCACTCCTCCTACCAACACCTTCCCCAAAGTATCTGGGACCTGGAAATGCGGACAGAGGCTCCTGGGAGAAGGGTGTGTGTGAACAAAGCCTCCTGCATGTTCCTGTTGCACCCCCTTCCCAGCGCAAGGGGAGCTCCACCACCTGGACCTTTGCCTCATCTGAGCTACTGTTATGAAATCACTGAACCAAAAGAGGTGTAGTTGACCTAAAAGTCTAAAGTTGGCCCAAATGGGCTTTGAATCAATATGTTTAACTCTAGGCATATTCTCCAGCACATTCTGATTTTGTTTCTTCTGACTATGTTATATCAATCCCAACCCTTCTTGGCTACTTTCATGCCATTTCCCTATGCATCCACTGGAAGGTTGGTAAACGGGGTAGATATGTCCAACTGCTTCTGGGGAGCATTTCTCTGCCCCGCCCACTTCCACAGTCAACAGGACAGGTGCCATGTTTCAAAAGTTTCATAACTAAACTGTTAGCCCATATTCATCCACTGTATGCTCCTCAAATCTGGCTACCCTGTTTCCCTTTCTTTTCTTTCTTTGTGACTCAACATTATATAATTTTCATATTATGTAATTTATTCTCAAAAAGAAAGAACTGCTGTCTATTGAGCATCCTCTGTGAGCCAGGCTTTTTGCCCAGGTATTTCATCTGAGTCTGTGAGGCATTGTCATTTATCCCCCCATGCAGATAGCAAAGTGAGGCTCAGAGAAGTGAAGAGTTCCAAAGGTGGCATGGCAGTGAGAGAGAGACAGGGATGAGCCTGCTCCCACGGCACTGGGCAGAGCCTCTTTTGCCATGTGAAATGAGGTAGTTTGAAGCCACAAACTTGAGCTAGAGGAGACTGGGTGGCCCATCACTTGGGTCTTAGACAGGATGGGGCCCACTGCAGAGTAAGCAGATGAGAGATTCTGCTGGAGACATGGGGGAAAAACACATTGCCACATGTCCCAAAGAGACCACTGGCTGAATGAGAACCCACTGCTCACAATCCTCTGGGAACTTGGGGGATGTCCTGGCTGGGACTGCTCTACCTGGTGGACAAGCACGTTAGCCCTCAACATGCAGGGAGGTGCAGACCTGAGAAGATGTGGAGCATCTCTGTGGGTGGTGCAGAACTACAGGTGTGTGGGCATTCTGGATCCCTGCTAGCCTGGGCCTGTCCCAAATGCCTTGCTCTGCAGAGAAGAATGTCTTGTTTCCAGGATAACTCAGTGTGGGGTTGCTCTTGGGTTGAATTCCTTCCTCACACCAGCCCCCTTCCCATACCTTTATCCTCCACAGACAACCAGCCACATCTCCAGAACCATCTGACCCAGGGCCATTGTGGTGGTCCTGGGCCAGAGCACAGAGGTAGGATTGCCCTGGTTTCCACAGGGCTCTGCAATAACAGAAAAGGGTGTTTGTTTTGGGCTTACTAAGAAGTAAAATGACTCCCAGACCTCTATGTACAAATGATTCTCCTCTGATTTCAAGCAGACTTGGCTTCTCACAGCTACTCTGTCATTGATGTTAGCTTGAACAAGCATGAGCAGCTCCAGTAGCCCCTGGGTTTCTTTCCAGGAATTGGGACCAGATCACTTAATGGGAAATTTTGTGGCTGTAAAATGGTTTCCTTAAACAAGAGCTATGCCAAAGAGGATCGTTAAACATTTGTTTTCAATAATGCTTTCTCCTCCTCAGCCACCCTAAGGGACAGCACTGAAGACTGCCCAGCCGACCCACCCATGAATCCAGGAGGAAGTAAGCATACCTCTCCACAGGTCAATCTACAACTGTTTCCTGAAGGGGACTTGCTTCTTCAGGTACTGTATGATATTTTCCATCTCTATTCCCTGTCAGTGGTTATGATTATAACAGAATCAGATCTCAGAGTTTTCCAGAAAACATTTTGTTTCAACTCTTATTGAATTTATCTTTAATTATCATGTCAAGTTTCTGGTTGAGTAGAGTATTCTATATCTATTTTCCCCATTTTTTTGGACAATTCTGTAACCATACTGCCATGTGGGTGAGAGTCACACATGGGAAGAGTCAGAAACCTTGAATGTCAGTCCCTGATGGCCACCTGCTAGTCAAGTAGCAGCCACCTCTCCCCACAAGGGTGATGTTGATTTCCCCTAGCTGCCTCAGGGTTGTGAGACTCAAGGAGAAGGATGTATATGCAAATCATACTATAAGCCATCAAACCCAAGAAATGAAACAAATGTACAAAGGAAAAATATATTTTGTGTATATGGAAATATTAGCAATATTAGCATACCATATTTCATTGTTACTACCTTTGAACATTTAAAAACTTTCTTTCTCTGGAATTTTCTATTTAAATATAATATATTGCTGGTACCTTAGCAAGGAATCCAGGTTCTGGGTGACACAACTATGGCAGATCTTCCTCTCACAAACCAGAAGTACAAAACTTCCACAGACAGTCCAGGAAGAACATGCATAACCACTGGGTGATTGGCCATAGAAGCAGGTGGATCTCTTCTTCAGGAAAGAGGGGATGGCATGAAAGATGGCTGCATCTTTTATTTTTATAGTAAGGTTCATTTACCTGTTGAGATAAATCATTAGACTTTTCTCAGAGTAACTTAAAGGTGGTCTGTTGTCTCCTCCTCCCACCCTCAAGCTGAAAGAACTACATTTTTAATGCTTCAGATCTTTTTTTTAAACTTCAAAAGAGACCCGCTACAAATATTAGTATATGTTAAATCTGGATACATGACTGTTAGTTAGTTTGATCTCTTTACTTTTTAGTGAGTTTGAACTGTTTTGTAATTTTATCCTTAAGATAGAAATTTTAACACAAAGCATCTCTTATAATGAAATTCCTAAAGAATAATTTCAAGGGGCGCCTGGGTGGCTCAGTCGTTAAGCGTCTGCCTTCGGCTCAGGTCATGATCCCAGGGTCCTAGGATCGAGCCCCACAATGGGCTCCCTGCTCCGCGGGAAGCCTGCTTCTCCCTCTCCCACTCCCCCTGCTTGTGTTCCCTCTCTCTCTGTGTATCTCTCTGTCAAATAAATAAATAAAATCTTTAAAAAAAAAAAAAAAGAATAATTTCAAATGTTTGTTTAGCTAAAAATGATCAAAATTCTGAATTATTCAGGGTTCTCCGGAGAAATAGACCCAATAGGTTGTGTGTGTGTGTGTGTGTGTGTGTGTGTGTGTGTGTGTAGAGAGAGAGAAAGAGAGAGAGATTTTAAGAAATTAGCTCATGTGATTGTGGGCCGTGACAAATATGAAACCTGTAGGGCAGGCTGGAAGCCTGTATACTCAGGAAAGAATTGATGTTGCAGTCTTGAGTCCAAAGACTGAACGCAAAATTATTTCTCCCTGGGGGAACCTCAGCGTTTTTTTTCTCTTAAGTCCTTCAACTGATTGGATATAACCCACCCATGTTATGGAAAGTAATCTGCTTTACTCAAAGTCCACTGATTTAGATGTTATTCACATTTAAAAACAAATGGCTTTGGGGTGCCTGGGTGGCTCAGTTGATGAAGCCTCCAACTCGGCTTCAGCTCATTATGATCTCGTGGTCATGAGATCAAACCCCACTTCAAGCTCCATGCTGAGTGTAGAGTCTGCTTCAGATTCTCTCTCCCTCTCTCTCCCCCTCTGCTCCTCCCCCTGCTCGGTCGTGCTCTCTCTCTCTCTAAAATAAACTTTAAAAAATTGTTTTTAAAAAATATTTAAAAATAAATGCCTTCAGAGAAACATCTAGACTAGTATTTGAACCAATCTCTGGGCACCACAGCCTAGCCAAATTGACACATAAAGCTAACTGTCACAACTTTATGTTTAGTTGCATTTTAAATGGCTATCTGTAAAAATTAATTTTAGTTGCTAAGGAAAAAAATAAACTTCTTTCAATTGATAAAGAACTGTTAACCTTAAAAATAAAGCTGTCAGTTATTTTACCAACAAAAGCAAGTCTATTTGGGAATAGCAGAGAATTATAATTTGAGACAAGCACGCTAGGGCAAAACCATAGGCCAGTCCAAAGAACAAACAATAAGAATGCTCTCTTATAGAGGAAAGGGGGAGTTGGAAGGGCTCTTATCAACAAAAAGTCCACCGGAGTAAACTGGGAGCTGGCAGTGTAATGGCTTCTCATTGGTTGAGCTGTGACTGTCTCATTGGCTGGGCTGTGACAACCTCTCATTGGCTGGGCTGTGACAGCCTCTCATTGGCTGGGCTATTGCTAGGGGGATGAGAAGAGCCATTCTTTTTCCTGGGGAATAGTAAAGTAGCTAAAGTGGTATAGACTTGTCTCTTCCTGTTGGGGTCTGCAGTTGATGATGAGTAGCAGGGTGTGAGAGTTCCGACCTCTGGCCCCCCCTACTCCATTTTATTTTTTTTTTAAGGGTATACTAATTACTTTATTTTTTATTTTTTTAATTTTATTATGTTATGTTATTCACCATACAATACATCATTAGTTTTTGATGTGGTGATCCATGATCCATTGTTTTCGTATAACATCCAGTGCTCCATGCAGTACGTGCCCTCCTTAATACCCATCACTGGGCTAACCCATCCCCCATCCCCTCTCCCCTCTAAAACCCTGTTTGTTTCTCAGAGTCCATAGTCTCTCATGGTTCATCTCTCCCTCCGATGTCCCCCTCTTCATTTTTCCCTTCTTTCTCCTAATGTCCTCCATTCTATTCCTTATGTTCTACAAATAAGTGAAACCATATGATAATTGACTTTCTCTGCTTGACTTCTTTCACTTAGCATAATGTCCTCCAGTCCCATCCACATTGATG